TCATTTGTAACTGTGCACATCTGTCTATCTTTGTAAAGACAGAATACACAGCTTTCTCCAGATTTACGAAGGGTCCCTGGCTCCATTATCCTATATCCCTGTAGCAGAGAAAAAGTATATGGTTGTACAATCAAGCATCTTTGGGTCTTATTAATATACATTCTTGCTACCCAAATTACTACAACTTCCCAAAGTATATTCTTTAGAGCCTCTATTTTGAGCTATTATCTCAAAAAAGGGGCTCCATGGTCAAACTGACTTGGGAAGTGCTATATCCACATCCTCCTTCTTGGAGAGTCACGCATTTTAAAGGCTCTGATAAGCCCACATGTAAAGAAGCTTCTGTAACACATGCTTTCCACATTTCTTTAACATCTCTCAGAAGATGGTGCAACACAGTCTGAGAAACACCGGCCTAATATAAAAAATTATCTCACAGGCATCTTCTTAACACAGCGCAGTTCCCTGAGGGAGGGGAGTGCATTTTATGCTGATTCCACACACACTAAGCTTACCTCATTGCACTATGCACAATCCTTACTAAATACAGAATTTCTGATTGAATATTAAATGCTCTCAACTGAGAACTTTGAATAAATCCTTCAACACCCTGTAAAAGCTTCTAACACTTCACACCAATCCCCATAGCTCTTTCTACAACTTAATACACTTCATAGCCCCAGCCAAACATTCTAACTAGACCAGGCTCTGAGCTGACTTCTAAAGTAGGGGGAAATCCACTAGGCTCGTCAAAGGCATGGCTGGAGCAAGTCTCCTTAGAGGACTCCGGTACTTCCATTCTGTACCTAACAGAGCAGGCTAATGATCTGATGAGAGTTCAGGGAAAGTCAGGGATCAAGTTCAAAGAAGATGCACACAACATGCAGGATAACAGGCAATAACAGACCACACACAAATATATCCATCCCTTTACATTATAATCGCACGATGATTTCTTAGAATTCACCCTTTTAGGACAAGGTTTCTCAACCTTGGCACTAATGCCATTTGGGGCCGGACTATTCTTCGGAGGGTGGGGGGACTGTTCTGCACATTGTAGGATGTTTAGCAGCATCTCTGGCCTCCACCACTAGATGCCAGCAGCAGCCCCTCTCCCTAAACTGTGACCAAAAAAATCTGGGTGAGAACCACAGTTCTATGGGAAATTTTTGCTAGAGGTTATAAACTAATATTTCTTTTCCTAAAAATACAGAGAACCTTTTCTTAGAGCTCAGTTTGATACAGGATGCATAAATATTAATGAAGTGTGCTATTCTGGATGGGATCCTGAAGCAGAAAAGGACACTAGGTTAAAAACTAAGGAAATCTGAATTAAGTACGGACTTTGGTTAATATTGATACACACTGACAATGTATCAATATTGGTTCATGAATTGTGACAAATGTACCACAGTCTCATGAGACAAATAATAGGGGAAACTGCTTGTAGGGTTCAGAGAAACCACACAATTTTTCTGTAAATCTAAAACCAATATAAAGAAACTTATTAAAAAAAACTTTTTAAAAATTAAAATGGAAAAAAAAGAAGGGTGGAAAAGAAAGGGTAAAACAGAGAGTAAAAATCCTCTCTTTCCTGAGCAGGCCTCGTTCTGGGAGACCCTCCAAAGGGAAGACACCTGACAGGATTGTTAGGATTACGACAAGAGCTCAAATGGCCAGCAAGCAACAATCAGGAAGTACGAAAACAAAATTCTGTTGTCCTCTTGTAAACCGAAAAAAAAAAAGAAACTATATGTTTTTGTATGAATATCAGCATTTCTTCTGACGTCTCTCCTACAGACACAGCCCAAGCGTCAGCCTCAGAAGCATTTCCCGCATCCCCTGCATCCCTGAGCAGTTATCTGCTCCGGGGTCCAAGCCCATGGAGCCTGCTGTTTATCTCCCCAAAGCTGGACTGTCACTTATTTGTTTACCAGTCTCCCCATCCATGCAACACAGGTCTCAAGCTTGGCACAGCCAGGTGCTCAGCCACTGTGGGCCCCACCCTCTCAGATGTGTCCGTCTGTGACTTAACAGCCTTTAAGCCCACTGCTACATACTCAATAAATGATTGGGGAATTAACGCAAGCCGGGTGCATAGACTCGTACAGAATTCAGCTAACGGGGGTGAGGGAGGCTCAGCCCCAGACAGAGCAAAGAAGGAAAAGTCAAATCAAAGCCCCTGTGTTCTCAGGGGTGAGACAGGAACCACATGTGCATGTGCTGGGGGCATGAAGATGGGATGGGGCATGCTGAAACCTGATTCACAGACCTGTACCACTAAAGATCTTAGACGTTACTTAGTCCAGTGGCCTCAGTCCACAGTGAAACCGAAGTCAAAGAGATCAGATGGCTTGTTCAAGGCCACCCAGCTAGTTACGGTGCCGCCCTAAACTGAAGGAGACCTAGACCCTAGAGCTAACTAACCCACCTCCACCCCTTACTAAGCAAGTGTCTAAGACTGAGTTATTTAATAACCACTAACAATAGCTACTCTCTACTGAGCATCTGCTGGGCGCCAAACCCACCCTAAAAATCCTCACATGTTATCCCCGTACTACAACTGAGAAAACTGAGGTCAGGGAAGACAGTAACTTGCCACCAAGGTCACAGAGCTAATAAACCTCAAAATCCCCCTCAAGCTGTCATATTCCCAAATCCCGCTGGGATCACCACCCACCAAAGTCCAAACTCTGGCTGAGGCTGATCTTCAGCACCCAACGCCTCAGCTGTCTCATTCGCCAGGCACTGTTCTGAACACCTGCCACGGATGGACTCACTCATTCCTGGTCACGATCCTAAGATGTTGGTACTACCAGGATCCCCATTCTACAGATGGGGAAACTGAAGCTTCGCGACCTCCCCAGGGTCTCACAGCCTGCAAGCGGCAAATCTTGTCCATAAAATAAGAATGACAAATATTTTTGCCAGCAGTTTCTCATAAAATATGACATTATCCTTCAACCAAGCAATGGCATGGCATTGAGAGAAATGACAACATATGCTCACCCAAAAACCTGTACACAGCCTTACTTGTAACAGCCAAAAACCGGAAGCAACCCAGGTGTCCCTTAACGAGTGAACTGTGGTTAAACAGCTCGCTGTGGTTAAACAATGGCACATCCATACCAGGAAATGCTACTCAGCAATAAAAAGGAGTGCGCTACTGACACAATGCACGTGACAACGTAGATGACTCTCCAGGGAATTACGCTCAGTGAGAAAAAAGCCAATTCCAAAAGATTACATACTGTATGATTCCAACCATGTAACATTTTTGAAATGACAAAATTGTAGAAATGGAGAACAGATAATGCCCCAGGGTTTCACGGGGCATCAGGAGGGAGGTGGATGTGGTTTCGAAGACAAAATGAGGGATCCTTGGGCTGAACTGTCCTGTATCTTGACTGTGGTGCTGGATACATGAACGTACATGTGATAAAACTGTACAGAACAAAACACACACACACATACAAGTACAACTAGAGAGCCGTGAATGCGCTCTGTGGGTTGCAGCAATGTCAACACCCTGGCTGTGATACTGTGCTATTGTTTTGCAAAATGTTACCACTGGGAGAAACTAGGTAAAGGATCTCCCTGTATTCATTCTTAACAACTGCATGTAAGTATACACGTCTCTCAATTTCAAATTTCAATTAAAAAAGTCTTGCCTGCCCAAAAGCTGGGTTAGACAATCTATATTTCTTTCATTTAAGATCCTGCCATTTCGGATGTCTCCAAAGGCAGTCTTCTTTCCAACACACCACACAACCACTTCAAAAACTGATGCAAAATGAACTTGGAGCAAAGGAAAACCAAGAAAAAAAGTCCTATTTCACAGAAGCCTGCACTGCAAGCCACTTGGAGTTCCCTCAGAAAATTATTCCAATTGGTGAAAATAAGCTTCTTGTTTTCTTTCATTAAAGTGACTTCTGGCCAAAAGATGGAAAATGTGATCCTACAAAATGTTCTCTCTCACCAAATATGCTCTCCCCATCTCTATGTGCCACCTCAACCTCTCCCCCGACCAAAAAATCAGTATACAAATTGGGGTTCTAAATCTTCCCTAAAAGATGTGGGCCCATGGATTATCACTGGCCCTTTACACGAGTTCCCAAATGGTCAGCTGTTACGGGAAGGCAGACGAGCGCAGCAAACAGGACAGTGGGTTAGGGGCCGAGACAGACCCGAGGTCAAGGTGTGACCTTGGCCAACTTCCTTAACACTTGAGTCTCACCTTTCCCATCTATAGGATGTGGATGTGGCACCCCCATGGTAGGTATGGGAAGAACGCAGGAAGACAATCTAGGTGCCTGGCAGTAGTATTTACTCGGTTCTCTTTTGGTCTCTCCGTTTCCCTCAGTAACAACCGACCCAAGCAGATTTTATGTTCAGCGGGCCATAAAGGAGTCACTCCTGGACCCCCTCCTCACTGAGGTTAGTAGACAGCCCACAACTCCCATCCTAGACCCCCTCCTATTTCAAACACAGCAAATCTTACCCTATCCCCTAAAAAAAAAAAAAGAAAGAAAGAAAATAGATCAGCCTCTGGACACTGCCACCTGCCCGGTAGCCCGGCTCCCGGGTAACCCGCCGCCTGCCGGACTCCGGCTGTTAGCATTATCACTGTTTGTTAATAACAATACCCAACGGTGCGTGAGGGTGACCGCCTCCCAAGAGATGTCTGTGGACCCCCCGGGAGAGCCCAAGGCCCTTCCAATACAGATTACTGGCTACAAAATCCCAAAAATTTATAAAGCAGTTTTCCCAAGAGAAAGGCAAGCATTGCAAAGTTTCTGGAGGCGCATTTTTCCGCGTTTCCCGCAATCGCACTGCAGAGGCGATGTCGCCCGCGGTTGGGGGTGAGGGCGACCGAGGGTCACCATTGGGGGGGACCGGCACGGGCTGGAGGGTTACTGCGTGGGAGGGGACCCGGCGCCGCAGCCCGGCGGGGAGGACCCCCCCCCAGGTACCGGGGCTCGGGGCGCCGCCGCACTCACCGTCCGTGCTCCTCTTCGCCTCCTGGTAGCGCTCCCACAGGTAGCGCTTCCTGTCCGGGGCGGTCCCAGGTGCAGTGCAGAGGGGCCGGGAGGGGCCCGCGCGCGGCCGACCCCGAGCCGCAGTCCCGCAGCCGCCCCGCAGGGTTGCCGCCGCCCCCCTCGCCCCGGCCCCACGGGCCACAGCCACCGCCGCCGTAGCCATGCTCGCCGCCGCCCCACTGCGAGCGCGGCCACCCGGCAAGAGCTCTGCCCGCGCTCAGCCCCGCCGGCTGGCGGCCCGCTGCGTCGGAACACGTGGCGGCGCGGCCCGCCCCTTCGGCCGCCGCGGGGCGGGGCCTGAGTGGGGCGGGGCCTGAGTGGGGCGGGGCCTGAGTGGGGCTGTGGCCTGAGCGGGGCGGGGCCTAGTCCGGCCCGGCTGGGGGCGGGGCATGGGCGGGGCCTGCTGCGGTCGCTTCCCCGCCCTGCTGCTCGCTGAGGTGGCCGTGCGGTGGGGCAGAAGCCGGGTTAGGCCGAAGCCACGTGGAATGGGATGACTCATTGTCGGCCCTAGGCCACTAGACGTGGTCCCGGCGCCGGCCGCCGAGGTCCGCAGCACCTTCCTCCCGTGGTCTGGGGCCGTCCCCCAGGACTCTGGCCGCACTGACAGGGTGCCTCTGGCCCCGGCTTCAGAAGGTGACCTCTGGATCTCCCCTGGATCTCTGGGGCGGGTCTGGGACGTCCCCGGATCCCCAGTTTGGATCCTTCTGGGGATGCCCGTGAGGAGGCAGCGGAGCCGAGGCCCCATACGTGGGCTGATGTGTTCGAATGGTACACCACTGCTCAGCCTAGAAGGCCAGTGCCCCCCCAGAGATTTCTGCCTCGCAGGGGAGGCCTCGAGACACCGCCACCCAGCTCTTGCTCCTGCCCACGCTCACGGGCGCGGTGCATCTGCCTTCTCTCAGACCTGTCAGGCTGCGCCTGTTCTGTGCCTTGTGGTTCCACCAAAGCCGAATACAAAACAGGAATCCCCACCACCATGAGACATTTCTGTGTGGAGTGAGTCAGACTCGGATCCTGCAGGACAGACTGATGCGACCCACCCAGAACCCGCCTGAGAATCACTAAACTGCGGGGACTCCCCAACCTGTTGGTCACCGTTGAGCAGGGCGCTGGGTGGAGGACCGGGACTAATTCTCAAGGTTGGCACTCTGCCTGGGAGACCATTGTGCCATATGTGAACTAGGTGGGGCACGATTTAAAACAACCCAAAGCACTAGTGTATGCTTAAATTGTGGGCTGGAGGGGTGAGGAGATGCTTCATGGGTAAAGGTGGTTAGACCGTGACAGATAATAATAACTACTATTTACTGAAGGTTTGCTGTGTGCGTTCACTCTTGCAGTGCTCTCAGTAATCCTGAAAAGTAGGCACCATAATTTCTCCCATTTTATAAACAACAAAACTGAGGCTAAGAGAAGTAAGATAACTTTTGCAAGGTCACACAGCTGAGCCCGTTTCCATTTGGCTTTCTAACACAGTAGGTAGGATTTAGTGGGGTGGCAAGAAAGAAGGTAGCCAATAAGTAACCCTCAACAGTTAATGGGGCAGTAGCTTACAAATCACTGATAACATGAGAGACAATTAAAATGTTTGCAACAGATACGATATCAAATCCATGGACTCTGGTACTTTAAACTTACTTTATGGTTTTAGTTTATTCCAATTCATATCTTTTCTCGTTTATGTTTCATAAAAAAGGTTTGGCAAGAGCAACTGTAAATTTTGTTTACATAGAAAATTAATTCATGAATTCAAAAGAGAGAAACTATAGCAACATAACAGTAACACAATTAGAACTTTAATAACATTGTTTCAGTATATTTTCAGCTTTGGAACCCTGTGAGATCAACGCTCTTCTACTTACGATAAAAATGTGAATCACTTAAAAATTGCTCTTTTTGGCTAAAATCTATTAAAATATTTTAAGGGGCTAAAAATAATCAAATCCTCAGAGATTGATTACCATCACTCCTAAGAGTCTTAAAAGAAAATATCCCATCAAAGAGTTCTAAATAAAGACAAGCAGAAAAAAATTAGACACAAAAGAGCCATGATCATTTTTATTCTTTATTAGTATCGTTTGAGGTCTTCAACAATTTTGCTTCAAACTGAGATCTTCTCTGCAAAGAAACACTTCTGAGGAACTGAACTGTAATCGAGGCTATGAAAAAGCCATCTTTCTGAGATGAGTTCAGATACAGATTCCCAGGGATCATTTGTGCAAAGAGGCCCTTGCAGGGGATGCTGGTAAATCACAGTGGTTTGGCCTTTTCCCTCGTGCTTTTAGCTGACAAAATCCTTTGCTATGAAAGCTTTACTACACCATCCATTTTACCCAAGGATAAAATCTTAGAGGAATAATCTTTCTTTGATGCTTCTTTTTCTGGGCTATTTCCTATTTCATCATTATTTTGTGTCTTCCATCGAGTCTTTTCCTTAGCAGAAATGGAAATCATGGGTCTCAAGACCTTTTTCCCTTTTCCGGAATCCCATTTTGATTTATCTGAGACTGTTTGAGGTGCCAAGACCATGATTTTAGCCCTCTGAAGCTTATCCTCGTTCGTGCACATTGCAGAGCTGTATCAGAACTGCACGAGAACTCTGAGAGCTGTGGTAGGTCAATTTCACCTAGTGCTCACACTGCGAGGCGCCATTCCTAGAACCCTCGGAATATTGCTGGCTCATGCCTTGAGGCCAACATCTCCTGCCCTGGATGTGCTGTTTCTCTCAGAAGGCTGCAAAGATCAAAAGTTATCAAGAGGTCATATATATACCATGAATAACCAGAAGCATGCTTCTTTTCAAGACATAGAACAGAAACTCACTGTAGGATTCCATGGACCAACGAATGAGAAGATACCAGGTAGGTCACCCTTAAATCAAGTGATCTGTACAAATAGCCCGCTGCCTCAATCATGACATGATGACAAGAGTCACTTACCAATAATTGACCTGCTGGATATTTGAGAGTAAGAATATTAGAATTTTTAAAAATTACTCCTGGCTTCACATATTTAAAAGAGAAGGATAAAAAACATTTACAAAAGGCGGCATTGGAACATTATCTATTGCAGTTTTCCTGCCAAAACCAGGATCTAATTAATCTGAATCTAATTATAAGGAAAGAGTCAGACAGACACAAATTGAAGGACACTGGGCATGGAGGGTAGGACAGAACCTGATCTATGCTCTTCAAAAATGTCAGTGTCATGAAAAACAAAACAAGCCTACAGAAATGTTCTAGAAAGGAGCAACCAAATGCAATGGAAGATCTTACGTAGGATTCTAGATCAAAAAGTAAACAGCTATACAGAACATTTACTAGGACCTTTGGGGACATTTGAATATGGATTGTACATTAGATAATCTTAGGTGATGGTTGAATTTCCTGGGTTTGGTCATTGTACTGTGGTTATGCAGGAGAATGTCCTGTACTCAGAAGACACATGCTGACAGATTTAGAGATAAAAGTGTCAGATGTGCAATTAACTTCCAAATAGTTCAGAAAAAAAGATACGTACGTATGTATGCGTCTGTGCGTGTGTGTGTGAGAGAAAGAATGCAAATATGGCAAAAACATTAACAATTGGCGAATACAAGTGAAGGGTATATAGGTGTTCATTATACAATGCCAGATGCCATTGTCCATAATTTAATATAATTCTCTAAAATGTGTTAAAAGTAAAAAAAAAAATACATTTTACAATCTAATTTGCAAGTGGTACTCATTTATTCATTTTACCCATTTACAAGACTGTTTTTAAGGGGCTGAATTTATCCCATTGATTATAAACACAATGTAAGGCCAGTACATGTAGGGCATCCATCTGGATATGAGATAAAGAGACTGCCGGGTATTTAAGGGCAAATAACACTGACAGATGACGCAGCCAGCATCCCTGTATTAACTATAATAGTAACTGCAATTTATGCGAGTAATTACCACATATCAGGCCTGTGTAACCCTGTAACAAATAAGCTATCATCACTTGTCTTTTTTTTTTTTTTTTTTGGTCATTTATTCTGTTTAATAGTACACACATCCACATGGTTCGAAAATGAAAATATATAAAGATACAAAGTGAAGTGTCTCCCATCTCAGTCCCCATCTGTGCAGTCTTCTAAAACGTGCATCCTTCTAGAAAATTTTTAGTGCATGTTCGATGACTTTTAAAGATGAGAAAACTAAATGACGATACGTAACTTGCTCCAGTAACAATCCCCAGGGGGCCTCGTCCCCAAGCCCGCGCCCTTGGCTGCTGCCTTAGGCTGCCTCTTCCCTCACACCAGATTGTCCTTCTGAGTATCAGCTGGGGCTTCTCTTGCAGTGTAGCTCTGCGTCAGAGTCATGGCTGGGTCTCACATTGCCCGCAGCTATGTCTGGAAATCTGATAAGGACTTTCAGCTTTTGTCTCTGCTTAGCAATCTGTGGCAATTTTTCTTCTTTCTGAATTGCACTCATGACTCCTTATGGTGTTCCCAGTTGCCCCAATCTAGCTCAGCAGAATGCACTCGTGAATTACCCCCACCCCCACTCAGGATGGCCATGTAGCACTGGTCTTAACTGGCTTTATAAGGTAAAGCGAAGAAAAATAGAACCAGAATGTTTCAGGTGCTAACTGAGCAGGAACTCATTCTCAGAGATCCTCTGGACCCCAATAACCAGATCCCACAGACTGTCTGTTCTGCCCGAGGCCCTTTAAGAGCCTCTGACTTGCCTCAGGATTGAGATTGTCACACAGACTGGCTGCTGGTGTCCTCAACACACACTATTTCAGGCTCCCACTCCCTAGACTCTCTCTTGGCCACACACCTTGGTTCCTCAGGCCCCTTTGCCCTCATGACCCATTCTGGGCCTGTACCTATAGCCTTGACCTCAGGACTTTCTTGGACACAATCTGATTCTTTCTGGTACCAAGCAGAGGAGCTGCCAGGAAAGGATATCCTTGCCCTGGGCCCAAGCCCAGTCCACCCATCCTCCCTCAAGGTGGGTACCCGCTGGGCAGCACTCTCCAGCCTGGCCGGTCCTCCCACCCCAAGAAAGAGCAAAGACCAGGATGGGTTCATCCAAATCAGAGAGAAGTCACTGAGCCTCCTTCCACTTCACGTCTTCCTTCTGGATGGGGAAGGGACCTAACATTTAACTGTGCACTCACTCTGCTGGTTGTTCGGCTTACATCATCCCATTATATCTTCAGAATAACCCTATAGCCCCTTTTGGCTGGCAAG